ATGCACAATACAAATAATACTTATAGCGATCCTATGGGAGTCCACTAGTACTATTATGCCGGGGTCCAAAACGCCGCCTATCTGGTTGCCACGTTTTTCCACGGCGTGGGCTATCTATAGTATATATTTTAATCTATGGTATGTAGTGACTCACTTGTAACCTACTGTAAACCAAAGCGACACCCACTTGGCTACCTTTTTTTACTTATACAGTTAAACTAATTTAAATTTAAAAAAATTCGTCTTGAATATCAATACGCTAATTTTATGGAACAATTGTCTATAATTTAAAAAAAAAATTGTTTAAATCGTATGTTTTCTAGCTGATGTATGACAATTTTACAATATAATATTATGTAGTTCCACTTTGCGCAAAATACGATAGTAATAAGAATACGATTTATAACATCGAAAAATAAAATAATATTATTCATTGACAAAATTATTATTTTCGTATTGACGTATTTGGCTATTTATAAACTGTGCGCGGCTACGATAAATAACCAGTTTTGACCTTCGATGCGGTACGGCTGCTTATGCAAGCAGGGTGATAGAAGAAGTATTATTTCAGAACGCTGCCGTTATAATCGTTTTAGCAGCATAATATGACGACGGCAAATTCATAATTTTTTTGCCAAAACATGCTTTCGTACTTCCAATAGTACTTAGGCCTCGTTGATCGTAGAAACATGATTTTGGTATCAAAATAATCACGAGAAGTTGTACTAAATATTCTTGGAACAGATTTTTGATATCTAAATTTGCCGATTTTATATAATTTTTTAAAAAAATGAAAATTTTACAAACTTCAAACACAAATAAAATTGGTTAGTAAAAATATTTTAAAATTCTGTTCCAAGAATATTTAGTACAACTTCTCGTGATTATTTTGATACCAAAATCATGTTTCTATGATCAACGAGGCCTGAGAACTATTGGAAGTACGAAAGCATGTTTTACGGTCGATTTTTTTCTACTGTGACGCCCTCTTAAGTATAATAAATTAATAGGTAAATATGAAAAAAAATTTATTTTAGTATTTAATATTTATACACTATTTATATTTATAGAAGATAGTGATAGAAGTGTTTTAAAGAAACTCAATGAAGTCTTACCGTATGGATCTGAGTTTGTCATAGATAAAAAAGAATGCCGAAATCACCTATTACGAAATTGCAGTCAAAAAATTACCGCTTTAGCAAACAAAACTGAGTTTTCTATTAATTTACGAAAATTCATTTTATCTATTTATAGATATTATATTTATAATATTTTATATTTCGGATACACTGAGGTGGCGTATCTAGGATTTATGTTGTCGGCAGATGGAGTGAGACCCGGTGATCAAAAGGCCATAGCCATACAACAATATCCAAAATCTAAAAACAAACATGAGGTGAGACGTTTCCTTGGACTATGTGGGTTCTTCAGGAGGTTTATTCCACGTTATGCGGAGGAAGCGTACAACAATCTGAAGGACAGGCTGACCAGTAAACCAGTGCTCCAAGTCTTCAACCCTAATGCGGATACTGAATTACACTGTGACGCTAGTAGTGTGGGTCTGAGTGGCATGTTACTTCAACAAGGTGAAGACAAGAGGTTACACTTGGTGCATGCTGTATCAAAAAAAACTACCTCAGCTGAACGACATTACCACTTAAGCAAACAGGAGTTAATGGCAGTGGTCTGGAGTATGTGTAGACTGTGATCATATTTAATTGGGATTAAGTTTTTAGTTGTTACTGATTGTCAGGCAATTGTACATCTAAATACCCAAAAGACTCTGAACCCCCAAGTAGCGCGTTGGGCAACGCTTCTAAATGAGTATAATTTTGACATAAAACATCGCCCAGGCAGTAAGATGGATCACATTGATGTCCTAAGTCGTGCGCCGACAAGCATGTCGCAAGACACTGAAACGGAACTGTAAGATGAACACATGGAAGTGTTTATTGCTATGACCGAAGAGGATCAGGTGATAGCAATGCAGCAGATAGATGTGAAACTTAAAGCAATCACGGGTATCCTTAGTCAAGAAGAATTTGATCGTACAACAATCGAAGCTGAACGAGTAAAAGATTACCAACTTCATCATGGGATGTTATATAGGAAGGGGACGGTGGACGACAACGAAACAAGATTATTGTGGGTAGTACCTGAGTCAATGCGAAAGAGCATAGTGGTAAGATTCCATGACTTGGCGGGTTATTTTGCAGTGGATAGGACAGTCGGTAAGATAAAAGAGAAGTATCATTTTCCAAAGATGCGCAGATACGTGAAGATGCACATTAATTGCTGCCCAGAGTACATACTAATTAAGACCCCACGAGGAAAACAGCCTGGAGAACTTCACCCCATTACCCCAGGTAAATGACTATTTGAGGTGATCAACATAGATCACATTGGTCCATTTGTGAAGTCAACAAAAGGTAACAGTTATATTATGGTGTTGATTGATAACTTAACCAAATATGTTAAGCAATTTCCAGTGAAGAGCTGTGGCACAGAGGGTGTGGTAACTAACTTACAGACATTTTTACTAACATTTGGGACGCCAAAACGAATTATCAGCGACCGAGGGACGGCTTTTACATCAAAAGTATTTGAAGCATTCTATGTCCAATATGGTATTTGACATACTTTGAACTCGGTAAGACACCCACAATCCAATGGGCAGGTGGAACGTGTCAACAGTACCCTAGTTCCGGTAATGCAGTCAACTATGAAGTCAGATCGAACCTGGGATAAACGTATATCTGACATTGAGTGTCATTTGAAAAATGCTTATAATAAAACCATAGGCGACACACCTTTTCATGTGCTGTTTGGATATTATCCAAGTTTTAGGGACGGAGTGTTACATGATGGTAACTACGAACGAGGTATGGGACTCTGCAGCACATATACAAAACAAGATCCAAGAACGCATATCTAGAGAACATCAGCAATGGAAACAGCGGTACGATTCCCAGCACGTCAAACCAATACGTTATGAGGTTGGAGAAGTGGTGTTCGTACGCAGACCACCAGAAGTCACAGGGGAGTCAACAAAACTGCAGTTCAAATATCGCGGACCACTAGTAGTGATAGAGGTACTACCTAATGATGTGTATCGAGTGGCGGGATTACGCGTCGAAGCGGGAAGGCGTTATGTGACTGTCGTTCACGTTTCACATATTAAGGGATATCATCTACCAGAAAATAAGGAACCAAACGAAGACTCAACTACAACAGAGTATGATGAAGAAGACAAACCAACAGATTTACCCAACAACGAAAACATGCAATCAAAACAGTCAGAGATAAATGACACACAATCCAAGCGTGTGAGGAAAACACCAGCTTGGCACTCATCTTATCAGATGTAAATAAATAAATAAGAATTATTTTAAAATGTTATTATGTGATATGTGCTAGTAAGCACTAACTACTTCTTGTGATAAAAATGTTAACAATTATTATGTATTATTAAATATTAAGTTTATACAAAAAAAAAAAAAATTTAAAGTGTTCACTTAAGTGAGGACACTTAAAGATCAGGACGCCCGAATGTTATATATTGTTATTAATCCTACTATATGTTGTTGAAGGCATATTGTATTGTGCATAGGGTAGGGTGTCAGCACTGCGTTGTGTGTGGGATGATGACCAGTGTGAGCGACAAACCCCGGTCGACTCACTCTTTTTTGCGCCAGTTCCCATGCCGAATAAGTGTCGGATGCTGACTCTTTTGATTATTTTTATTTATATATACCTTATGTCATTCGTGTGTCAGTTGTTATTAAGTTACAATAAAGTGAATACCTTTGCGACATTTTTTTTTTTTTGTTTTTTTGTTTTTTATGAGTCACTTTAACACTGAGTTATGTGTGAGAATTGTAGAGATATCACATAATTGAATTTTTAAAATCATGCCAGCCTCACTGCTTTTCTATTCATCATCACCTTAAAAATAAACAATATGATATTAACCATGATATTATTTAACTTAATATTATAATATCAAATAATAATAAATTAATTTACCTTTCCAATATATCATCAACTTGAAATGTTATATATTTTAAAATACTCTCTACTTGAGTATCACATGTATCTATAGAACATTTTTTTATTTCTATAGCTGATGGAGGATCTATTATCAATTTATTTATTGCATAGGCAATAGAAGATTCACCAAACCAAAGAATTTCCGTATTCCAACATTTTAATTGAAGGACTCATATGATTTATTATAACTTCAGCTTTTTGTGAGTAAATTTTAGATGTTATGCCACTCTCTATAATATTGGAAATAAATTTAAAAAAAATCAGACGATTTAAGGGGATTGCAAACGTCCGTTATTTCAATGAAAATATACCAATGTTTTGTCAATCATAGCGATGGACCTAGAAATACGATTATACTTTTGAAAACTGATTTGAATTTTGTGTTATGTTTACTTGAGATCGATCAGTCCACTTTTTCAAATTTCGTTTCCCAACTCCTATATACTTGGCTTGAATATTTAAAAATATACAAAATTTTAAATGATGATTATTTCGTATTAAGATTTAAAAACTTAAAATGTGGACTGATCGATCTCAAGTATATATATTAACTAATTCAAATCAGTTTTTAGAAGTTTAATCGCTTTTTTAGGTTCGTCGCTAGGATTGACAAAAAGTACATACAAATTAGCATACATTATCTTCTATACTCCGTGCCACGAGAGAGTGCGACCGCCACGCGCATCTAAATGAATTAACTCCGACGTCCAGAGGCTAATTATCCCCCACCATGTGGCGTTCGCTCACTGTGTATACAGCGGCTCAAGTAACTAATCACTAATATTACCGCAACCAGCCTTTATAATATAATATACGTAATATCAGTATATGAGTTATTTTTATGAAATAAGTACAAATTTTTTTTTGATTATTATTTTTTTATTATTAAAACTACCATAAAATATTTGTCACACTTAATTTAAAATAGAAAATATACATAAATAAATAATTTAAATGTTTTCGTAGTCGGAATCTGAAGTGGTGTCGCCTGTAATTGTTAGTGTATGTTCTCCTGTTTCCGCGTCAAAAACTTCGTCAGACAGATGATCAACTCTCAAAAATTTGTCCTCTTCTTTGATTACGTGGCCAATAAAACTTGTCCACATTTCGCTCGTGACGTGTTCCACAGCATCTTTTAATAAATTATGTACATCTTGCAATTTAAATGTCGTATTGTGCATACGTACATAATGTTTTATCCAAGACCACGCGAGCACGATAGGATTAAGCTCACAGTGGTAAGGAGGCAACCGTAAGACTATTTTATTATTTTCTTTCGCTATTTCATCAATCACATATGTGTCACTCAGCGGTTTAAACTGGTTAACGAGTTCTAAAAGTTGGGATTTAAGTAATTCTGGCTGAGCTATATGACCTTCATTTTCTAACCAATCTTTAATCTCTTGTTTATTCCAAGCCATGGTTGGAAATCGATTTTTTTTTACAGAATGGTATGAGGCATTGTCCATTACTATTACGGCGTTTTCTTTTAGAGATGGTAGGATTTTGATGAACCAGTCGTAAAACGTGTCCCCATTCATCTCATCATGATAGTCCGACGTGTTTTTCTTTGATTCAAAACATAGCAGGGCTCCAGGAACGAAACCATCAGACGACCCGATGTGTAACACAATTAACCGTTTGCTCTTCCCTGACGGTTCTTTTTGTCCAGTTGTTAGCCCTCGAAGGAATGCGACCCGAGGCGAAGATATTGTTGTGTCGACCCATGACTTTGTGCTCGTTTCACCTGCATTGACCCAGGTTTCGTCAAGGTAGTATATTGGTCTACCACTTAGTCTATAATAATTTATAGATTCCAAATATTTCCGACGCCAACACACGATATCATTACGTTCAATAAGTGCACTATTCTGTTTTTTTTTTAATATACTCAAAATTAAGGTGCTTCAAAATTCTACGTAGGGACGTCTTCGAAAAATTTGGTAAATTATCATCTTCGTTTACAGCCACTAGAATTTTATTCAAAGTAGGTATTTGACGATTAAACCAAAATTTATGTACCTTCTGTCTAATGGCGTTTTGGTCAAAATCTTCGGTTTTGTCCATCGCTGTCTTCCTAATTTTTATTTTATTTGGCGATGAAACTATACCTTTAGCTTTATACTCCGCTAATGTACGTTCCACCGTTTTCTGTCCAACACCACTGGTTTTTGATATTTTTTTTATTAGGTCCTTATACTTCATTTTTTGACTCGCTTCCAAGTTCTGTTGCTCCAACATTAAATTTTTGTAGAAATTGATAATTATTTCCTTTTTTTGAGTACCAACGAACTAAAAAAAATACGAAAAAGGTGGGTAAGTGGATGTCGCTCTGCTGTACAGTAGGTTACTGAGGGTCACTGTATAATGGAAGGCATTAATTTTGAATTCAATGATATAATATCATTGTATAAGAAAAACGATTCTGAGCGGAGACGGTATGTCAGTCTAGGTAAAAGAACATAAATATTAAATATGTAATTTCATCCAAATTTAAATTTAAAATGTTTGTAAAATAAAACTTTAGTAAGATGACGCGGTCCCGCGTAATATTCCGTTTGAATTCAAACGGCCTTTACGCGGAAAACCGCGGAACGACTTCTCTATCCAACCGCCAGCGACGACGGACGACGCCGACGCACAACAATAGCGTCGGAACGTCTTGACTGCCGATACCGCGAACCGGTCCGACGACCGGAGTCAATTTTTCACCATACGCTGTACGCTAACTAATACCCTCGGGTTTTATTTTTTCGATTGTGTACTGCGAACCTCTTTGTTTTCTAGACAACAGTGATCACTCACAGTTTTTCACCTTTTGTGTTCAGCATTTGTTTATTTTTTAAATACACAATAAACCGGCACATACCGTTTTTTCTCAAACTTCACATCTTGTGTTATTATTTTGCTACCTCAACACCCAACCGTCCCATTCCACCTCCTGGTACGCATCAAAGATCTGTAAGATAAAACTTTATTGATATTTATAGAAAAAAAAAACTAAAAAATAATGGAAAATGAAAATGTTCCTAAACAGTTCAAAATAAATCACAATATTTTGAAAATGTTATTGTGTATAGAAAATGCAAATTAAACAACCAGTGAAAGTTACATGTATCTATGGTCATTTGTTTTAAAGTTAAGCGAAAAACCAAATTCGATTTTGTCAAAAACCGATTTCGCGTAAAAATTTCCGTTTTTTCTTAATTTTTCTTTTGTTAATCTTGTCGCATTGTGAAAACTCTTGGGAATTTTAAATATTGACCTCCCCAATGCACCAACGATATTCACTTTCGAATCAAAAAATATACTGAAGTTGAAATTTTGACATTATTTCGACTACTTATCGTGTACACAGACACAAAAATAAAAAAATAAAAAAACACACACCATTGTAAAATCAATACATTCATCGTTCCACTCAGAATTTAAAATTAGTAATATTATGGACAGAACAGAACAATTTCTTTTAAATATGTTTATTATACATAGTAAAGCAAAAAGTTTTGAATAATATCTGATGACGAAATTATGTATTTATATAAGGAAAAAAATAATAATACAAGTGAAAAAAGGAAGTACGATAGGTAATTCCCGACATCACTAAAAATTAAAGCATAAAAACAAATATTTTCAAAAAAAAGTGTTTGTATAATGTTTTTTAATAAAGATATTTACTTTTCCCAGAAGGATTCCTTTTCACAGGTGAAATATCTTCCATCATAAATAATTAAATAACACGACATATCTTCCATCATAAATAATTAAATAACACGACTTTTTAAAACGAATTAAAAAAAAAAAAATTGCAATTTAAAAACCGTATTAGGTATACACGTTGAACCGCACTAAATATCAAACATGTAATAATAATAAAAAATTTAATTACACCAGTAACCGCTCTGTATATTACAACAACGTCGTTCGACAACGGTACGACAGCGATCGACATATACCGACGGTAGTAACCATGACAGGAATGTGGTGGGGATGCGCGGAAATGAACACGTTTTGGTTGCCTCCCAATCGCACTCTCTCGAGGCACGGAGTTTAGTTAGACACGGTACGTCGTTCAGACGACATGTACTGCACGTGCCGTGTGCGAAAGCGTTTCTCCACTACACCTCTTAACTTGGTTCTAGGAATCTCTATGGATAATGAACCCCTATACTTTAATATATACTATTATATATAATTTGTCTACAACGCCGGTTTATAATAGTCATTTCTATGAATAATATTATATAATGACGTCTAGTGTAGGTATTAAGGTACGGTTTCCAAGCTGCAACGACTAAACGTTGCGTGCCGACTGGTTTCCTACAATACGACTGAACGCTGCGCTGGCATTTATTTTCAGTTTAGTTGAGCTCGATATTTCAATGTGCACACACGTATTTTTTTTAAATTGTTGTCACAAATCACGAAAAATGGAACAAGTTGTTATAAATAATAATAATATAATTATACATTTATTAGAAGAGGAGGAGGAAGAAGAAATAACTTCAAATACACACTGCAGGAAGCCAATAAGTAATTTATTTAAAACAAGAGAAAAAGAAGGCTTCTTTAAAGTTTTAATAAATAGCCACTTAAGAGATAATAAAAATAAATTTCGCGAGTTTTTTCGGCTAAATTATGACCAGTTTAATTTTATATTAGCATTAATAAAAAACGACATAACATTACCTGCATCAAACAGAATAAAAAATCCAATTTCGCCCGATGAGAAATTAGCTGTTACTTTAAGGTAAATACGTATTTTTCTATTAATTAATAATAATTATGCCACAGTTCTAGTTTAGCTACCTATCGATTTTTTAAAATTTTTTTTTTTTAATGATAGGTAGCTAAACTAGAATTATGCCATAATTATTTAAATAATTATAATGAATAGATTAATGATGTTTCAAAAAAATATCTACAAAATCGTATCAAGTTTTAATTTTTTTTTTTTTTGCTACATTCTGCAGATATCTTGCTACTGGGGAATCATTTCGGTCACTTTCTTTTGCGTTCAGAATTTCACACAGTTACATTAGTAATATCGTAAAAGATACACTTTCGACGTTAAAAAAACACCTTATGCCCATTTTTCTACCAGATTTATCAACTATCGACTTAAATAAAAAAGCATCAGAATTTTGGACTAAATGGAATTTTCCAAACTGCGTTTTAGCGATAGATGGGAAACACGTTCGAATTAGATGTCCAGAAAAAACAGGATCGCTTTTTTTGAATTATAAAGATTACTTCTCTATTGTAATGTTAGCAATGGTCGATGCCAATTATAAATTTATTGCCATTGATGTTGGTTCATTTGGCAGAGAAGGAGACAGTGGCATATTTTTAAAATCTGCTATGGGTCAACAAATACTGGATGGTTCATTTGGTTTTCCTGAAAAAAAACAATTACCTGGATCTGATAAAGTATTACCTCATGTTATAGTTGGAGATGAAGCTTTTAGACTACACCCTAATATTATGAAACCATATACTCGACAATCTGCAAGACACGACAAATCAAAAGCAGTTTTTAATTATAGATTGAGTCGTGCTAGAAGGGTGACGGAAAACGCATTTGGATTGTTAAGCCAGATATTCCGTGTATTTTATCAGCCCATTAACATTGATCCAATGACGTGTGATGATCTAATTGTAGTTGCTTGTTGCTTACATAATTTACTACGAGAAGCATATTTAGAAGAGAATGGACAAGCATTTTTTGAAGAGCGTAAGTCAAGTACAACACACCAAATAAACAACCTAATACCAATAACAAGAGGCGGTGGTTTTACAAATGCAGAAGGGTTTTTAGTTCGAGATTCTTTTAAGGATTTTTTTAACAATGAAGGATCTGTGTCATGGCAGGAAGACAAATAATATAAAATGTGTAGGAACTACTTTAAATACTTATTTTGTATGTTTAATAGTTTTTTATGAACAATATGTGTAATTCCTTTAAATCTTTTTAAAACAACATAACAATTTAAAAAATTAAAAAAAAAATTATACTTTGGGTTTTAAACATAACATTTGTACTTTTGTTATATTAATACTTACAACAGAAAATTTTTAAAAATCTCTTGAAAAAAATCGAATACTTGTATTTTTATTATAAAACAATATTAAAAAAAGGTAAAATTATTATTGATTAGTAAAATTATTTTCATATACAAATGGCGCAAATCCTTGTGAGTTTGATGACAAACTTTGACATGACGATGTAGAACTTGAATGGGCTATGTTGTAATCATATTCAGAAACAGTGGTTGTTGAAAATGCCCCCGGGGTAGGTATATGAGGATTAATCAAATACTTGTCTTCGAGTTCTGATATCGTTTTTAAAACTTGTAGTCTTGCCTCACTTATGCCTCTAGGAGGTAGTTTTTTCACCATAGCCGCAATACTTTGGAAAAATAAATCAGTTTCATCATTGTTGGTCACTTTATTTAAAATTGTTTCATTTTGTTTTTGTAAATTTTTAATTAAAACAACTCTTTCCGATTGATGTTTTAAAAAATCTTTTTTGTTGTACTTCGATTTAAATTTTTTATTTGGTTTTTGAAATTCATTAAAATTTTGCTCATAAGTGGATTTTTCAGTAGTATTATCTTCTTCGAATAACTCACTACTTTCTTCACTTAAGAAATCCGTAAATGAATCATTTGTATTAACATTTGTTGTTGTATCATTTGTCGTTGTATCATTCACATTATCATTTGTCGTTGTATCATTCGCATTTATATTTGTTGTTGTACTGAAATATTAAATATATATTTAATAGCTATTGGTATATGTCTTATTTATTAATTCATAAATTCATTTTTAATTAATTTTAATATGATACATCAATTTTTGATTTTAGTCATTTTATTAACAGTATAATATAAAGGAAAAAGAAATAGTTTTAAATTGTTATTAAGTAGCGCTCTAGTATAAAACTTAGTTGATAGTATTTTAAGACTTTAGGTATGTGACGTAAAATAAACGAATGGTATCATTCCCAAGAATAATATGTTTGTTAATTTGAGTTAACAATTTAAAGTATTGTTTTTGGTATGAGTACTTACTTTCTTTCGTATTCTACGTTGTTCAAGAATGTTAAACTGTCAGCCAAAAACCATTTTTTTTTTGCTAATGCTGACGATCCTGTTCCGAGTTTTTTCTTATGTCTCATATACGTATCTCGTATGTTTCGCCAT